TGTGTTCAAGGCCAGTCTAAACTATATAGCAAAACTCTCTCAAAACAAAGAAACAAGCGAACATACCTCAGTATGAAAACTTTCAACCTAAGTGTTGGCAGCCCACATGCAGCCAAGTTGAGATGCAAATTAAGTACAGCAGTGTTCATGGAGAAATTTGTTTTTGAACAATTTGATTCACAAAAGGAAGCATTTGCAAAAAAACAAAACAAAAACAAACAAACAAAAAAGGTTGTGAACTCTGCTCTGGGTGATGAACACAAGCATCAACATGTTTTATGGAATCTTGGAACACATTAAGTTTTATGAAATGAGGTGTCACCATGTGTTTCAGCATTGTTGTTTATGTTAAATGTATAAAATGTATATTATATTAAATACACAAAATCAGTAATTATTAATTAAAACATAATGTTTTTGCAAACTTATAAAATTGTTTCTTTCCAACAAATAAGGTTATACATGTCAATGTATAAATTCTCATGAGTATCCTTCCTCTCACTTAAGGACTGACTCCAATGCATGTAAATATTTTTTAAAAAGCTATCCTACAATAAAGTCCCACAACAGAGTGACTACACATATACAAGTTAACATACAGTTATGAATGCCAGCCCAAAAAGAAAAATTGAACAAAATTGATTAGTAGTTTTTATAATAAATAAAAAGAAAATAGAGGGAAAAATCGGAAGGACAGACCATTATGCAAAAACAGAGTCTTATTAAACGGACCAAATAATACAAGTTAAACAAACGGTTTTTTGTTTTGTTTTGTTTTGTTTTGTTTTTTTGCTTAACCGATATCTCTCTACCACGTGTAGCACATTAATGTCACCAATTTGGCTTTTCAGACATGAAACATGTTAGATTAAACACTCTTGTATTCTTACACATACACATACATGTGTATTTGCATACTTGGAACTATAACTTCTCACGTGCAGCACATTATAACTGTGACTGGTGATTTCTGTTGTGTGTGTGTCCTAACTGTTATGAAATGTTTAGTAGCATCACCAACATTTACTAAATAATGCCATCCACAATACACTGAATTAAAGCTCAGAAATTCATTAGAATTTTCCTGGACTGCTGTTCAATTTTTTCTTGGTATCAACTTTCCTTAATCACAAAACAAATTACACATATATTGATACAAATATTAGTACAACATCTACTGAATTATAATTGTTTCCATTTTTTATTCTGATTTTTTCTGGACCTTTTTTTTTGGCTAAGTCCTTGTGAGCATGTCAAATATAACTAAGAGACTGGTGAAAAAATTTCCAGATATTTCCCAGTGCTCTTTGGGATCAGAGTTCTTTATGGATAAGCATCACTGATACACACACACACACACACACACACATATGTGCACGCACACGCAGGCACACGGAAATGCATTTATGTATTTATAGAAAGTTTACAGTTTGAGTTGATACAGATATGTTCACAACATTGTTTTGTGTAGGAGGCCTTTTAAAGACACTGTCCATGTTAGGAAATAAATTCATTCATTTAAACATTTGCTATTTTATTTAATTAAATTATCACTAATCTCTAGAATGCAACTAACTATTGAAATCTCATTTATTTAAAACAAAATGTTACTGAGTCACTGCAAAGTCAGTCTACAGCAAATTAAACTTTTCCACTTTGCATCTAGTTTTTGTTAATCTGGATCCAAGGACAGTAGTTAAATTTTTGTTTACCTACTTAAAAATTCTCTCAAAATCATGCTATCACTTTGCTTTTTATATAATTTTTAAACTTCATATTTAGAAGTTTTCTATTTTGATGAAAGTTGTAAAAATGTTTATAAAATTATCATCCTGACAATATTAGGTAACTGTCACTCTTCCTTGTTGTGCATTTAGTTTTTAACTCAAAATTAATAGTAACGTTATAGCAATCATGGCTTTAAATAGAAAGACAGGATGTCTCAATTCTTTCTATTTATTTCACTCTTTAAGTTGAAATTATATATTTAATTTGAAAATAGAGTAATTAATATAGAGAATTTTAATGATTATTATTTAATGACTATTAAATGATTATATTATGACTATTAAAGAAAACTCATATACTCTATGTATTAGAAAGTAACTTGATTACACGATCAGACATCGTAAGTTCTACCCCTTGATACTTCCATAGTTAATACTATAAACAACTAAAAGTCACGCAACCATTCCCAGACACTTCATTTTCTTTTTTTTTTTTTTTTTTTTTTTTTTTTTTTTTTTTTTGTCTTTTTCCTTTTCATCGGTACCAGGGATCGAACTCACGACTGCCTGCTTTCAAGGCAGGCGCTTATGCCGCTGAGCTAAATCCCCAGCCCCGACACTTCATTTTCTATTACTTGAGGAATTCAGTAAAAGTGTTTCATATTTATGTACCATATATATGCATATTTTTGTGCTATTGTTTTAAAAAAGGGAGAGATTTACCCCGATCTGTGCTTACCTACTCATTCTCCTACTTTAAAAGGGAGAGAAAAGTGAGAGGAAAACAATTTCAGTAACCAAATTCTTTCTTTTTTTTAATTGGTACCAGGGATCGAACTCACAACTGCATGCTTGCAAAGTAGGCGCTTATGCTCCTGAGATAAATCCCCAGCCCAGTAACCAAATTCTTAACAAATGACAGAAACATTTTCAAAACTGTATGTTTTTATCTAGATAAATTTTAACACTTGTGGGCATATGCTACCTAAATGCAGAAAAGAAGCACAGAGAATGTAATTCATTTGCTTATTTAAAAATATAATCTTTTATGAACTTACAAAATCCGTCTTTACTGTTAACACAGCGAAAATTTTAAGGTAAAATTTTAAAAAATTATTAGATTTCTTAGCTTAAAGCATGCCACTGCATAGGCACACACAGTCAATTGGACCTTGTTCATGATTTTATCTCTTACCTAATTTAAAAAATAGTGCAAGGAGAACCATGCACGCCAAATATTCTGGAACAAACACAGATTCCTTTCGTTAAATAATAGTATTTGCTAATTTAAGGAAATCTTCTGCACGCTCAAAATGAAAATGATATGCATTTAAGGAGCACAACATCAATAGCTAATCATAAGCAGCTGCCAGCTTAAAGATATGAAGCATACTGCAAACAAGTTTACTTTAATAAACATCCTGTTTAATGTAGATCCTTACATTATGTAATCTGCATATGTTTAAATGTTCCTAAGCATCACCATAAAGACTTGACACACTTGATAATTACTACTGCCATATCTAGGGTACATTCTGCTGGGAAAATGAAACAAACATGTTATAATCAAACATTCTTATTTCAGTCACAAAAATGTATATATCCTTACAAACTCCACTGTACAACATCAGAACTCAACTTTTACATCACTCTAGTTTTAATTTAATAAGTAATATTTTCTAATGTGGGTCTGATAAACTGAAAATATTAAGGGGGGAAAAACATCTTTACTTTGAGTAATTGTGATTTAAAAAATCCTTCAAATTTCATAAGAATCCAAAGTAAACAAATTTTTTGAGGAAATGCTTAGAATTCATATATTAAAATAATAATTTCTAAGTTTAAAAAAATCAAAATATAACACTGAAAAAACTTATGTACTTGTTATATTAACATTAATATCAATAAGTTAACGAAACTAGAAAACCAATTGAAACAAAATCTCTATTACTTTTAAAAGTCATATATCTACAAAACAGAATAATATTTTTTACTCATAACAGCAAAAATTCGAATAAAAAGTACAAAAAGCTTTTCAATGTATTATATTTTCAAAATTTCAAGTTATACTATCACATTTGCTGGCATTCCTGTAGAGAATCACTATTGATTTTTTGCGTTTTGTTTCTTTATTCTGTACCATGGATCAAACTTATGACCTTGTGTTTGCCAGGCAAGCCCTTGGGTCACTAAACTAAATCCCTGGGCCCCAAACATTTATTCTTAGTTTATATCTGATAAGAGTGCAGACTATAATATCATTTAAGAGGATGTTCTAGAGATTGCTAACAATATTAAATTGTATTAATCAAACTCTTTCCGAAACGTCAGCCACAAACATGCCTATATGCTAAAGGTTATATAGAGAGAGACGTTCATTACAACTTTTATGTAATGTCAAAATAAAATAATAGTAAGAGTTAATAAATATGAACTAAATTAACTATGAATATGGGGTAACTGTGCCAGAGAAAATGTTAAAGAACTCTAAAACTCTCTTCATATTGAAAGCACTGATTGATGACATTTTTATTTCAATCACTTGAAATAATTATCACAGCCATTAACATAACTTAAAAAATTCAAACTGGAGGACATATTTTTGTATGAATTACTACATTTGATCATTGCCAAACACTGTGATAGGTACAGAGTGTGTAATGAAAATATCTCAGAACCTGCTACCAAGATTTGCACAGTAGATATTCTACTCAAGCATAGACATGCTTAAATAAATAAGTAGAAATATGTTCCAATAAAAGATAATTTATAGACAGCGATGTTTGAATTTCATGCTTGAGAGTGTCCTCTTGTTCATTCCTGTTGCATGTAGTATGATTGGGAACTATCCCTCAGAACATAAATAGTGTAGTGAACCCCTAACAACCCCTAATCTGTGATGAGCACCCACAAATATGTAAATAAAATGTTCTCAGTAAAGATCAACATAACAGTAAGCGACACAGCAAATTATAGCTTACCTTCCTAGTAACAAAATTATTTAACTTTTTTCAGTGAACTCTTTCTTCTCTGTAAGAGAGAAAAGAGCAATGCTCTAGTAAAGAATATTTAGTTCAATATGCTTAGGACAAAGCTCAAAGGAGCATAGTACAATCAATGGTGTTTTTTACACTTACTACTTTAAGCTCACCAGTAGGAGACCAAGCTTCTAGAACATTATTTAACTTTGTGTTTTGTCTCTTAAACCAGCTCTGCCCACATACCACCACACAGTTTCTCAGGAGAAGAAAAAGCAAACAAAAAAGGACTTACTTTTCCAACATACTGTGGATCTGGTCCCATATGTTCTTCTAAAACAAAGAACTGATTCCACACCCATCCCCTTTTGGGACGGTGGTGGACTTCGGTTTCACCTTCCCCGTGCTTGGTTTGGTTTCTGGTCACCTTGATGGAGCTGTGGTGAGAAGTTCCATAACACCTCTGCACAAAACAGAGACACACTAGGACTGGACAGATGCAAGATGTACTCGTAATTTTCATTGTAAGATCACTTTCCAGTTCACAGTTGTCTTTTGCTTCGTGTCAGCTACAGATGCTTAGTGAGCGCTCAAGAGAGAAGCCAGAGCATCCTTCGGAAGGACAGTCCAAAGTAAACTGTTTCTGGTGTCCATGATTTAACTGCCCACTGGCGAAATGTCAGAACTTATTTACATCCTGAAGCACCTGGAGATTCAAAGTTGCAGTCATCTGATTCCAAGTCTTCACAGCATGTGAACACAAATGGAAAAATTGGTTAAGTATGCAAGCATTATAAGGCACGTCAATTTTAACTACTTGTTTTGAATCAAAGTACGCTGTTTGGAAGAATAATGTTTATAGGCAAAGAAAATTGTTTCTGAATACAAAAATGTTTTCTTATATTTTTTAAATGTACTTCTCTGCCTGCACTGTTAGTTTTCAGTTTCATATATGGATATTCATATAATTCTTTCTGTTGTTCTAACATATAATACAAACTTGTGGCAAACAGTACACATGAATCACACAGTTCATGTGATTCACTCTGTGTTCACAAAATACTCCCTGAATATTTTCAGAACTACACTATCAATCTAATAATTACTTCAAGTTTTTGACAAGTAATAAAAACGAAATGTGAAAAGAGTTTAACTGATATATAAATATAGATATAGATGTATAAATTACTACAGTCTTTAGGCACAGATAGATGTAATGGAATGTAAGTAAGCATGTCCATTGGATCTCTCATAGACTGCATACATTTTGATATTTTCTGCTGAAAATAACTACAGTGTAAACTTCATATGCAGGCAAGATGGAGTTTCAATTTTAGGAATATCATCAGTAAGTTTTAATTTTAGCTCACACAATTCTAGCAACTTTGTAGATAAAGGAGGGGAATATAGTAGCAAAAAAACAGAGGTAAAAATACTGTCATTCTACAGATAATGTTGAGGTTTTGGACATATGTTTTGGTATAGCTGCACAATACATTAAAATTTTAAGAACATGTCTAGGAAATAAGTGAGGGGCAAAGTTAATCCTCAAATTTCTAGTTTAAACACAATATTTTGCATAAAATATTGCTGTAATTATACTGCATTTCAGTGTTACAATATGATGTTGATTCAAGGAAACCTGTATATTATTTAAAAAATTAGATACATCATTTCTAACTTCATAAACGTAACTCCTGGAAATTAGCATAAATTAGTTATTCATAATAACTAAATGAATTACAAAATAGTTTATAGGAAAACGTAATTGATTTAAAAACATTGCTATTCAATAATACCATATTTCTTATTTACATATCTATAACAGTGGTTTGTTTCAGATTTGAAGCTGAGAAAGTTACAAGATTTTCCTACAGAATATTCTTTTCTATCAGCATCTTCTTCCAAAAATGAGTTTATAATAAACTACTTTAATTGTTGTGTAAGAATTGTGTACACTTTACTTGAAATTTCATTTTAAGCATCTGATGCAAGTGAAATTCAAGTTTTAAAATATTTCATGGAAGATATCTGCTTCACTGACTTAAAGTGAGTCATAATCTGTCTTACTATAATAAACAGAACAATATCATTCTAAGTCCATATGGCATAAGAACAGGAACATTTTTAAAAATCAAAATTTCTTACTTTTTGCTTTACTATGACTTTTGCAGCAAGTGCTTATGTGAATCCTATAATTGTTTAAGTCTCATTCTGTACTATTTTTGAGTCTATTTATTCAAATGCTTAGCTGGAGTAATTATTTTCAATACTTTCCCCAGTCTACCTAAAGTATCATTTTATATTTATTTTAGTCAATTAATTCTAAATTTTAAGTAATTAATTAAAAAAAAAATTCATCATACTTCTTAGAAGCTACCTCATGAATATATAGCAGGTGTTGTCATCTTAATACTTTCTCACCATTTGGTGTGATTTTCAAATGAAATTAACATCTTTGCCCTTTATACAGTTATTTAACAAAGCATAATTCATGAGCAAAAGGTGAAGAAAGAAGCTTTTGTAATGCGTTTCTGATATCGACAATGACTATTTTCTTTGTTTACAATGTTGATCTGTCATTCCAAAAATAGAATATCAATTTATATATGAATTATATGCTTGTAAATCGATTATGACAAGTGTAGGTCATAAATTTGATATTGTAGAATGATCAAAAAACTGTAAGCATTTCTACTGTACTTTAGAAAATAATTTCATTTATTATAAAATTGCAGGATAAAGCTATAATTATGAAATTTCCTCCTTTATGCAAGAAATCTTGCCCTCCATATGTGAAAGTGAATTCACATTCAATTTAATAAAATAAACCACATATTAAGACCAATGTAGTGAGTAGATAGTAACAATGTTTACTAAGCAGCATTCAAACATCTTGCCATCTTTCGTGGAAAATTCAAATATATGCAATCTGATGAACAGAGTCCTAACTCACCACTGAGCACTTGAAGCCAAAATTAATTTCTTTCTATGTCCTGTTAGAACATACGCCAATTTAGATGCATGCAAATTATATTCCAACATCCTGAAGCCAGTGATGGATGAGTGTCAGGAGAGCTGAGATTTTTCACGGCACTGCTCATGGTTTCAAAGTCCAGTTTAACCAGGAGTTCAGCAGTTATGACAGAACCCAGTGGCAGTTCAAGGAAAGAAAAGGCAGTTAACAGTACAGATCCAAGCCATAAGGACTCAATCTTGCTTCCGGGTGTTTAAACAACACTGAATACTACTTTTCCCAAACCTGTTTCTGTACACATTCGTCAATTTTGATAGCAAATAATATTCTCCAGAAAAATTTATCTGCTACTCTCTATGGATAAAATGGATATCTGACATTTCAAAATAAGAACTGCTTCTGATAAATATAATTGCTGTTATGTTACTCCAAAGGAATGTGCCTAACAAAGCTGAAATACGTGAAATAATCTGTACCACAAGCTTCTCCTTTGTGTTCACTACTCCTACCAAATAATCCAATATTCCTTGCTCATATTAATCTCTGGCTTCTACATGCTCACTTTTCAGAACAAAATTTAATTACCTAATTCAATGTGCAGAGACAACTTGTAATGTTCATTTTGTAGCGAATAATCACACTTGTATTTCACCTCTCTCTTAAAAAGTTTTCACTGCATTATCTTTAAGCATGTTAAACAGCATAAGAATTTATGAACTGAGAATCATTTCCAAATGAACTCGTTATGTTGAGTTTCTCAGATCATCTAAGATCCAACCATGAACCATTAATAGCTCTTGATAACGGCACTCTTTCTATGAGCCTAGTTAGCATGATATTCGATGTGAAGGATTTTCATCTTCATGCCCAATGCTGTTGCTTCTTGCCAGTGTTTTCCCAGAATTTCTTACGCAATGGGTTCTTTATTTATAAAACTTGAAAACAAATAAGTCCAGAATATCTATGAACAGTATGTGCCAGTAGAAGGATGATGTATTTTCACTGAGATGATTAACATATTAATTTCAGAAAGAATAAACCCTTAAATTTTTTAAAACATGTTCAAGTGTTATATGTATAACTATGTATTTTAAACACATTTGTCTGAGTCTCATTCTGCACTATTCTGTACTAGCCCTTCCATAATTTTATCTAATATTATGAAAACCTTAATGTTATGAGAATCCTCTGAAGTAAATTGACATTGCAAACACAGATTGGGGAATCAACCTAGAAGTACCAATTGCAACAGAACTCAATCTAAAAACTCATCAGATAATAAGGATGATCTTACGAGGATGCTTATTTTGAAAATAAGAAGACTGATCTATTTCATGCTGAGTTATTTAAAAACCATCACACCTCTAGGTCAATAGAAACATGATATACTAAGTGTGAATTTCAAAGATCTTATATAAGTTTAAATTACCATTACTGAGTAAAAGTTCATTTTCCCTCAAATATAATGAAGAATTTAGAAATCCTAAGCACATCCTTGGGAATGATGATGTCATTAGGCATGCATCCTATTGCTCGGAGGTACATAAATTTTCACTCTATTAAGCATGATCAAAATCAGGACATGAGTTTAATTTTAAAAACTATAAAAGCTTCATTGTCATTAATTCTACACAAAACTCTCCCCTTTGCATCAAACTCAGTTATCGCATTTTATTGCCACATTCTGCAGCAGTTCTGTAAATTCTCTTTCATGAGTGTCTTTAGTTGCATTAACCTAGCAGTCTTGATGTCCTGAAACTATTCAAAGCTTATAACTTGTATGGACATCCAAAAGTCACTTTGTCCTAGATCCAGTGAGTAAGAGGGGTGAGAGCACACATTATTTTATTAGCTTGTTTTTCCATTGGATTAAATGTGTCAGCAGCATTCAGCATATTTTTCTATCAATCTTTTTAATGTCTAAACTTGGAGATGTGGTATCCATTTTTGCAGAATCCAGGGATTAATATCTGTAGTATTTTTTGTTCTAAACCTATTTTTATTTTCACAGCTCATTAATATTACCTTCAGAATTTTTCATTTAACTTTTTCCCCTTACCTCTCTATCTTAACTATGTTCTCCACAACTTTAAAAGTTTTTCTTATATCAATAAACTATTTTCTCATAACAAGTGTTCAAGCATAAATATCTATTAAATTACGTCAAGTAGTTTATTTCTAAATTGTGTCAAGTATTACCATCTCCGAGTCTCACTAATATTATCATTCACTGAAGATTTTTTCTTCCGAAAGTCTGCTGCAAATATAATAGTATTTTGCAAGCACAGTTAGTACAAGCTCTCCTTAACTGAGAATGGCTTTAACTTTTTGTGTGGTTGGGCGAGTGCTGCAAATATTTTGCAAACACCATGCTGTACACTGTTGTAGGCTGTGTGTACCACCTGCTTCCTGTCCCTCCATCTGGACACCTCTTGAGAGTGTACTTGTCTCTCCAAATGGCCCACCGCTAAGTAGCTTGCTTTGGTCAGTGAAAGGAAGTTAAACATTATTCTTACTCCTCCATCTGTAAATTGACTTAAATAGGCTTTGTGTAGTTAAAAATGCAAATGTTCATAAATCACATGGAGTTGTAGGGAACCTCATCTAAATTTCCTGTAAGTGTTGTTTTCCCAATCTGTATCTGAAATTGTAATCTTATCATGGGCTGCAAGGTCTTTTGTGTCTGATGCAGACATCTCGAATGTTCTGCAGCAATTCCTCCATTTACAAGTCTATTGCTTTTTATATCTTAATCATTGAATGAG